GTCCAGGAAGAAGAGGAAACCTTTAGTGATTGGGCAGCAGTCTCTGCCACATTCAATTCTCAATCATTATCACACATCTCTGTGCATGCTAGGAAAGCAGTTGCCTCTTAGCCCAGCATTGGCTGTTTAGAGGAAAATTGATCCTAAGAGTGGAGACTGGCACTTAGTTCTGGGTTGTCAGCTCTTTTCTGTGCCTGGAGTGCTCTCCTTTGGGTGGGGCACATCCAGGAGCGAAACAGGTGCCCTGGGCTTTTCTGATCTCCAGTGTGGAAGGGACCCCCTGTCCTCCAGGCACCCTCCGCATTTGGTTACGGAACTTTTTTTTTCTTAAGATTGATGGAAGTTTGAAAAGAGGACTTGAAAAATTAAGGGCCTTTGGGCAAAGCACTGTCTGCCATTGAGACAGTAAAGGTGGCTGATACTATCTGAAAAGTAGAGGTGAAGGAGGAAATTTCCATTTGAGCTAATAAATCTGGAGGGATTATCCAGCTACTAATGAACCCAGGGAGAGTTGCAATCACTACCTAATAGAAAAGATAAAAATCACCCTAAATCTGTTGTCAGAGAGCACACAGATGGGCTCTGCACCATAGGAGGCGGCTGTCAGCATTGGCAGAGAAGAGTGGAGATTTAGAGGTAAGGGTTAAAGGTCATGTGATATCAGTGAAGAGGGGGACATCAGCATGCCTTTGAAGAAGCAGGCTGTGCAATTTGTTGGCTGCCTGGACTGCTCTCGGCCTTGCAGGTGGCATGCCACCACTGCTGTGTCACTGCCTGCCTGCACTGACCAGCATGCCCCGCTCTGGGTGCTGCCCCCTGCTGGAGGGGAGGCTTCTATTGGTGGGATGCATATAGAGGCAGTGACGCCTCTGAGTTTTTCCTTTGGTGAATCTAGGGAGACAGGCAAAAGGCTGAGGACACTGTTGGAAGGCAAGGGAAATGTCGCCTGAGCAGAGAGCTTGTCACAGAGACCAAACACCTGGACCAGCAGTTGGGTGAACAGAAACTATTTCCATGAGCCAAGTCCCAGTGAGCTACAGCAATCGTTCCTGTAGGCCTCATTCTTTATCTTGTTTAGGCAGAATGGATCCGGGCAGCCACTCTTCCTCCTGAGTTCACTTTATTATCAGTATGTCTGAGGCTATATTTACACATCCAAAAGTTTATCAGAGAGATTTGTAAGTAATTAAACTTGCTAAAATTATTACAGAAAGAGGAGCTAGGGCAGACAGAGGAAGAAGCAGTTGATTCCAGAAAAAAGTGAGAACACTGCCACCCTACTCTTCGGCTCCTTTCTTGGCAAGTCATCCCTACCCGTCTTTCAGGTCTCATTTAAATGTCACTTCCACAAGGAAGTCTTCCCTGACACACTACTAGACTGAATCTGCTGTCACATACTCTCACGGCACTCAGCGTCTATATTTTGCAGCATTCATCTCAAGTGGGAATTCTTTCTTCTGATTCTTTCTAAATCTAAGCCTCATAAAAGCAAGGCCGAGTCTGCCCTGTCCATCACTATAACCCCAGTCGCCTCCTGGAGAATAATAGATATTCAGCAAACATTTATCTTTTGGATGAATAGAGCATTTCATCATATTATAGAGTTCTTAGATGAGAAGGGCTGGCCAGGTGAAATAGCTCACCTCTTTGTATCCAGCAGGAATTCAGCTCATCCTAACCAAGCCCTGAAGTACAGAGGAGTCCAGTTGGCTGTGTGCAGCACTACCAAGAGTTGGGCCCCGTCTTCTTGTCCCCAAGGACAAGGTGGACCAAGTGCTGGCTGAGAGATGCCCAGGGCTGCAGCTGAAGTGAGTCCATTCTCAAGGGCTGCAGTGGCTCCCTGGCAGCATTTCTCCTGCACAAAGGAGGCCCTCCTTCCCGGGGTCCCATGGTTAGAGGCTCCCACAGTCAGGTACAGGGACAGACAGAGTCATGGGCTGGGACAGTGCAGTTCTCCTATCAGATCTGGATGAGTAGCTGGAAATGTGAGTGGAGCAGGACCATTCCCCTTCTAGGACTGGCTGCATCTCCCATCTTTCCCCAGGGAAGCTCTGGTTTGTTTCTCTTGCAGGTCAGTGGTGCTCATTACCTTGGAAGAGACAGTTGTTGACAGCTATCCAAGTGGTGAGCTCAGGGCCAGGGATATGTGACAATCAGCCTAGAACAAGAATTTGTGACAAGCTAAAGATGCTGACTCGGGTCCACTTGGGACACCAGCTTTTCGTCTTCTGCCTTACACAGGACAGGGAAGTTAGTATGAAGCAGTGTGACGTCTGTGGAAGGTTCTTCCCACTCCCCAAATGCTTCCCACTCCCACAGTACCAGTGCCATAATTTCCCATCCTATTATCCATTGTGGGGGATGGTGAGACATTACATGACTGCAGGTGTGTGTCGCTGTGCCCAGCGTCCCCACCCCTCATTGACTATTTTCATTCTTAGGCCTCAGTTTCCTGATTTACTGTCTCTAACTTTCCAAAATTCCAAAGCTCTTACCAGAAAGGTTTTAAATTCGGCGTCTCACGGAGCTGGAAACACAGTTCCTGGGATGTCTGAGCACACACACATGCATATCCCTAAGCACACTTCCTGCGCACGTGAATACAAACCAGAGCCACATTCTATCAGCTGGACAGCTTTCTAGTGCCAGAGCAATTGACTCTAAAGTGTAGTTTATTATAAAATTATTAAGACTAGCCATATATTTCAGTTTTATGGAGCCCTTTAGGAAAGCCACTCTGCGTACTATAATGTGCTTTGTTGAATAAATGCGTTTTTAGAGCAACTTGGAATAGAGGAATGAAGTGCACACCCCATGTGTCTCTCTAAGCTGGGAAAGAACCATTTCCAGCAGATGTGAACTCTGGGAAGTGGCAGGCCCGGCAGTGACAAGTGTCTGCTGGGTACACAAAGGCACAATAGTATTTTAAGGGTAAACAGGAACTTCAAACCTCTGCTTTTCAACTCTGCTAACTTGCCTGTGTGTATCCTCTGAAGTAGGTGGTTAGAAAATGGGGATATACTCAGGAGAAGTGCAGGGACATCCAGAACGCAGGGCTCAGGAGGCATTAACTGAGGGTTTGGGGGTCTTGGGCTTGTTTCATTTGTTTATTCATTTGTTTTCGCACTTGGGGAAATGGTGACTAACAGCTTGAAGGTCCTTGGCCCTCATTACAGGATTATAAAATACAGAGCCAGCCAGCCATGATTAAGCAGCTTCTCTGTGGAAAATGCTGAATCAACTACACATACAGCAAATGACTATTAAGCGCCTTCTGTGCGGTGGGGAATACAAAGACCAGTCTAGTGCAATCTGGCAGGATGCGTCTCAACCTTAGGTTAGCAATGCAAGGTGTGGGAACCCATCAGGGAGCATCGAGACCACACTGAGGAGCTTGCAGAAAGCTCCTCTTTATGTTTAAGTTTTCTTTATGGAAGGATGGGCAAAAGATGAGAGCAGGCAAAGGGTTGTAGGCAGAGTAGGTCGTGGTGCTCAGGGTGACTGGAGCAGATGTGGTAGACAGAGGTGGCCCTGAAGCCAGGAAGGAAGGCTCTGGTCAGGTGGGAGCCTGTCTGCTGTGCAGAGTGGCCAGACTTTCAGCACTGGAGCTTGCATCAAAAGCCCAAGGTCTTCATTGGACTGTCCCACGAAAACTGTGTGTGATTTTGGACAAGTCCTTTCTCCTCTGTGCATCAGTCAGAGGACCTTTAAAGCTCTTTTCACTCTGAAATACAGTTGAACTTATGGATTAGATGATCTACCACAAATGGCTCGGTGGATTTTCCTGCTCGGTCTGCTTTTCACTGAAGTAAGTGACTTCATTGTCTCCTACTCCATGGTTTCTGTGTCCTCATCTGGCTTGCTCATCCCTCCAGGGCCCTCAGCTCTGCACATCCCCCTGTTGGGGGTACCTGTGTGGGCTATCAGGATATCTCACTCCCCTTTGCCTAGAAAAATACCGGTCCTGTGTTGCATGTCCCTACCCACCCACTCATAGCCCTGATGGATGAAAATCCCCAATCTGAAAATCCAACTCATGCCAACATGTTAATGGCTGAGCCTCTCCCTAAATCTGGTCATTATACAGCTGAGAAACACACTGAGGAGAAAAAATGACTTGAGTAAGCTTTCACAGTGAGGCAGGACTGGAGAGAAGAGGTCTCCACCCCCGTGGGCTCACATGTACTGGATCTAGAATAAGCACTTACTGTGCTACGTGTTGGGGATACAATGATGGAAAAGTGCTGACCTCGAGGAGGCCATGTGACAGACAGAGGTGGCGCTGAAGCCATATAGATTATTATAAGTAGGTTCAATCCAGTGATGAAGAGATGCAGTATAGGATATTATGGAGTCACCAAAGAAGGGTCTCTGGACTATTCTGGCAAGTGTGTAGAAAACTTCCTAGATAAGATTTCACCCCGTGGGCTTTGAAGACTCAATAGGAGCTAGAGAAATAAGGAAGGGGCATGAGTAGGATATTCTAAGTAAAGGATGTAGTCATGTAATGTCTCACCGTCCCCCACAATGGATAATAGCATGGGAAATTACGGCACCGGTACTGTGGGAGTGGGAAGCACCTTCCACAGATGTCATCTGTTTCATACTAACTTCCCTGTCCTGTGTAAGGCAGAAGACGAAAAGCTGGTGTTCCAAGTGGACCCGAGTCAGCATCTTTAGCTTGTCACAAATTCTTGTTCTAGGCTGATTGTCACATATCCCTGGCCCTGAGCTCACCACTTGGATAGCTGTCAACGACTGTCTCTTCCAAGGTAATGAGCACCACTGACCTGCAAGGGAAACAAACCAGAGCTTCCCTGGGGAAAGATGAGAGATGCAGCCAGTCCTAGAAGGGGAATGGTCCTGCTCCACTCCATTTCCAGCTACTCATCCAGATCTGATAGGAGAACTGCACCGTCCCAGTCCGTGACTCTGTCTGTCCCTGTACCTGACCGTGGGAGCCTCTAACCATGGGACCCCGGGAAGGAGGGCCTCCTTTGTGCAGGAGGAATGCTGCCAGGGAACCACCGCAGCCATTGAGAGGAGCAGGAGGCAGTAGCCACATACACAGCCTAAGCTACAAAATGCCAGGTCGTGTGGTCTCACTTTAGCTGCAGCCCTGGGCATCCTGAGCCATCACTGTCCACCATTCTTATTGCCAGCACTCTTAGATGGTGTCATGGTTTATGTCTGTGTCCTCCAGGCCTCAAGAGTTTGCATTGTGCATTTGTGATTTGTTCATTGTCTAGTGCTTGGATTGATGATGTCAGTGCTACACCCACAAAGGGGTGGAGCCAGGATATGATGTAATGGCAGGAAGGAGGTGGGTCTTGCTGTTTGCTGGTTCCTGCTTGCTGTTGGTGGCCACCATGATGAACTGAGGCCCAGCCATGCCCACCTGCCTTGGAGCCAACCAAGTGTGGACTGAAACCTCCAAAAACTGTAAGAAATAAACCTTTCCTTTCCCAACTTTGGGCTTCAGGTATTTTGTCTCAGTGACAAGTAAAAATTAACTAAAACAGATGGTGACTCTTATTCTTTAGAATCTCTACACTTCTCTCTCTTTATTCTGACAGTACCTGGCTCAGAGCTCTCAGCCAGAAGACATTTGAATCAAGCTACTACCTTTCTTGACTATGACTTGGCAGGACTATGACTCCACAGTAAGTCTTGAGGGAGAGGAGGAGAGGAAAGAGTCTCAGAGATAGGGCTCCTCCCTTGGGAAGGCCAGGTGCCCAAAAGAATCACTCCCAAGCTGATGAGAATCTCCTCCAAGAACAGCTGTATTTGAAACACACTTTTTCTCTTCTGCTCTCTACCCCTAGCCGGAATTAGTCTCAGCGGGGCTGATTAATCAGAAAATCTGAGTTGAAGGGGGGCATGAGGCATTGTTGTCAATTATCCTGAAGAGGAACCAGTCATGGAGTGCAAGATCATTGAAGATGGAAATGAACTCATTAGGCCTTTATTCCTCCCAGACCTTGGGTGAGGAGGTGGAACCAGCACCTGGGCCTCACAGTGAGATCTAGTGACTCCAGGTGAGGCAGGAATTTCAACTCCGCTTGATTCCTAACTACATGGACCAGGAGTATGAGAGCAGAATGAATACTGGCAGGAAAACCAGTAAGAACTGAAGAAGCATTGGACAAGGATGCTGAGAAATTCTGAGGTGAAGAAACCCTCCTTTATCTTGCAGGGACCAATTATCCAATAACCCTTTTGCAGATGTCTGACAAACAGCGTGATAGTGAAGATAAATCCCACGGGAATCCCACAACAAAGTTTGAGATTTTTGTGCATCGCGTATTTAATAAAATTGAAACTTGTCCTTTAGCTGCCTGCAACTCACACATGTGTGCGCACGCTCAATCACTCACTCGTTTCCTCTGTGCCTGTGTGTGCTGGTGACTGGCTTCATCAAGCTATATGTAGGGAATGAATCACACTGAAATAAGAAATAGGCTCTGGGGACCACGCTGGTTCTGTGTCTGGAAGAATAATGGAAATGTCCCCTCGGACTGCCAGCCCACCTCTCTGGTACTGTTTCCGGAAAAGGGGAGACTGCCTTGATCTCTGACACAGAGCAGTTAAGGATTCAGACTAATTCAGTGAAAGATGTCTTGGCCTTCCTGGCTGTGTGAAGATCAAGCAATCTCTAAAATGCCCACAATAGAGAAAATCTATTAATAAAAACCTACCCATTTCCACAGCTGGAATGGTAATAGTCATTGTCCCCACTTGGTTCTGAAGACGGCAAGGTAACCGGACCCACACCAAGCCCTATATCGGGTATCATCCATCCTGACTGTCCGTGTGTTCTGGTTCTGCACACTGGGACAGTGAAGCTCTCAGAACAGTGAGAATCTTGTCTAAAGTTCTCCGGTCACATGGTGTATAGGAGAATTTGCCTTTTCCCCACCAACGCACATCTTGCCCTTATCAAAATGATCTTTTTGGCTTGTCTGTTCTGTGTTAGTTTTTTATTGCTGCATAATAAATTCTCACAAAGTTAGTAGCTTCTAAAAGCACCTTTATTGGTACCAAGTTCTGTAGGTCACAAGTATAGCTCAGTGCCATGGGGGCTTTGCTCAGGCTGAAATCAGAGAGTCTGCAGACTGCAATTTTAGCTGTGGCACAGGGTTTCCTTCCAGGCTCATTCCTGTCATTAGCCAGATTCACTTTGACAAGGCCATAGTACTGACATCTCTGTTTTCTTGCTTGGCTGGCATCGGTTCTCAGCATACAGGTCTCTGCCCTGTGACAGCTCCATGTCACCGAGAAGAACCCTTCCTATGGTGCAACCCACTGGTCCACAGATCTCTCTGACTTCCCTCCCTGCAAACAGCCAGTATAAACTTGGTTTTTAAAGAATTACAGGCTTAGGTCAGACCCATCTGGATAGTCTCTCTCTTTAAAGCCAGGCATGCCGTGTTACATGACCTAATTGCAGAGGAAAAACTCATCGGAGGTGCAGTCTTGGGAATACTATGTGTGCAGGGAGATGGGGTGTCCTAAGGGTCTCTTGGAATTATGGCTGTCACACAAATGCCAACTTGAATATCTGTTTATGTTTTTGATTTCCCCTTGTACCACCTGGTAAGAGGTAGACAAGGAGAGGTTTAGCCAGGAACCAGGAAGAAGATACTGAAAACAGCTGGGGTACCGGATGATGCCTATGAGAAACACTGTGTTCTCTTTCTGACCAGGGTGGGGCTCTGGGCAGGAGGCACCCCTTCTCCTCTGATGGTCGCCCCTGAAGGAAGACCGAGGCTGCTGCAGGTATTAGGGATGCCCTCTGCCTTGAGATGTCTGGGTCCTACTGAGCAGAGTGTTTGAGATTTAATGAATGTTTGTGAAGCACAGGGAGAATGAGAATAAAAGACATTATGGCAAGTATTATTATTATTATATTGTAAGTACTATTATATTACAAGCACCATTAGGAGTAGCAAGTGCCGTTATTATTAAGCAATCTCGCTTCTCCATTTGCAGCATCAGGTTTCACTCAGTGTCAGTGACATCCACAGCTCAATTAACCACCACTGGAGGCTCCCCAAGTCCTGACTCTGGGCTGAAGTACACAGTCACAGCCCAGTGGTAAGCAGGTGCTGCCTAAGCATCTAGTGAGAACTCAGAGGGTGAACACCTCTCCTGGGAATTCAAAGGAGGGATTCCAAAGTTGGGACCATTCATTGGCTTCCCACTACTTAGCAAATTAAGTCTAGACTTCTCAAACTTGACTTTTGTAGCCTCCTGTGAACTTGCCCATTGGCTTTCTCCAAACACCACACAACCATCCCAGCCAGAAACAGTGACTTGCATCTCTCGAAAAGTATTGTGACTCAGTCTCTAAAGCTTTGCAGTTTATTCTGTCTGTCTGTAAGATTCCTTTTTGCATCTTTCTCCTGGCCTACTCCTGCTCATCTTCCAGGTCTCTGCTTGCAGTCCGCTCTCAGCTCAGCTCAGGAAGTCAGTAGCTACTGTGGTAGAAGAGACTACCTTGCTGTATGTGCCTCAAGTACCTGGTACTTAGTGTACCTCAGGACTCTGCCACTTGTCACTGGGGACAGTAGTGGGTCTGAGTCACTGTGTAAGTGCCGTGTGGTATGTGTCCCAGAGAAGGCACTCGCCTCTTTGTGGAATGCATGATGGAAGAAATGACAGTAGCCAGCATGGCCAGGATCTGAGAATCTGCTGTGTTATCCTCTTCCCACCGTGGAACGTATGTGACAGCCTTGAGCATGTCACAGTTACAAGATGCTCAGTCCTCGTGGAAAACTCATTGTCTGAACTTTCTGCAGAGATGGGGCAGGCAAAGTCAACAACAGTTAGAGTCACTGACAGTGTCACTGTCACTTGTCTTCCTAAGCAATTTCTGTAGCCCTGATAAGATAGAGGTGGGGGGTTCTAGGGTCTCTGCCTGAGGCTAACACATTGGGATGCAGGAAAGGAGAGGTTTAGCTCCTAATGTGTACCAGGGAACCCTGATTTGTGGATCCTGAGGGCAGCGGACCTCAGAGGACAGGGAGGAACACTTGATGGAGAAAGCAAGCCTGCAGGGAAGCAGTAACTCTCCCTGACCTGAAGGGAGACAGCATAAGGTGCTCATCATTTCTCACATCAGTTTCACTCAGAGATTTCAGCTGCACAGTTAACTACATAGATAACAGCTACTTATTTAGTGCCCCAAGACACAAAGGTTTCCTAAATACAAAATGAAGATAATCACTGCTATGCAGAGGAAGTGGGAGGCTTTCTACCCGGCCTGTGCCTTCCTCTTCAGGGGGCTGAGTGTCTGAAGTCTTTGTAAAGTCTTTGTAAAGACACCATGATGGGTGTTTGCAGGAGAACATGAATTCATTTAATGAACGTACACTGAGCACTTGCTAAGCATAAGCACAGAGTACAGTGTACTGGGTAGAGTCATGAATAAAGACAGAATATGATCTGCTTTTCAGGTCCTGTTTGTGGACTCACATTGAGAAAGGAAAGAGAGAAAGGACAGAGTTGTTGGAAAGAACAGATGTGCCTTCTCAGGTCAAAGGGATGAGTGAATAGGAAACATGCAGAGAGAAGAATCAAGGAGAGCTGGCAGCTGGGAGGTGTAGGATCAAATCTCACCTTAAATAGAATTTACTGACAGGTATGAATTAGCCTCCAAGCTGCTACTGTCTTCAAAGACCTATTACACAAAAAGCAATCTCCCAGCCTGCAGAGAGCACAGGCTTTGATGCAGATAAATAGACTGACAGGCATCACAGTCAGGTGTACCCTGGAGGAAAAGAGAGGTTGCAAAGGTGCCCGAAAGATTCTAGACTTCCTGTAGCCCTAGGGCTTTCCTGAGCCTGATAGGAGCTCCTTCCTGAATTCATTCATTCTACAGCATTGACTTCTCTCTATGTATAACACATTGGAGTAGATGCTGATAATGTAACTGTGTTTGCTTCAAATAGCAGCCAGTCCTAGGGAAAGTAGTTTGAAATGATCCCACCTGCCGAAAAAAGCTCTAAATGGTGATAAGTACACATGGAGGTACAATGGTAACACAACTGAGTGGCGATTTTTGCCTGGCTTGAGCCAGGGAAGAGGTCAAGGTGGGGAACTGTGGGAAAGGCAGACAGGAGTCATACCATGAAAAGGCTTGAACGTCTAGTTAAGGACTTTGCCTTTGTTGTGTGTGCAATAAGCAATATGGAGGTAGCAGTTTATGATCAAATTTATATCTTAGAAACATCCTTTCTGCAAGAGTATAGCAAACAAACTTGGAGAATTGCAGGACCAGAGGAAGGGAAGCCGAATAGCCTGTAGTCCAGGAACAAGATAGTGAGGACCAATTTGAAGGAGAGGCAGTGGGGTGGAGGGCAGAGTCAGAATCCAGAGATGTGAAGGGATGACATATTCTCAAGTGACAATGAATGAGTCCATGAATGTATGAGATGAGGACAGTGAGAAAGTGAACAGAGTAGAGGATGAGTTCCAACTTATAAAACTGGTCAATAGTGATGACATTTCCAGATAGGGAACCAAAGAAGAGAATCAGAGTAAAGCAGAAAGTATAGAAGTCCAAGCAAGAAGTGATGTAATCTTAAGGATCCCTCCCACCATTCTTTCTCCATAATTATAGGCTAAGAAACTGGAGTCTCATGGTGTTCTCAGGACTTGGTGGGTGAAAACAACGTTAACTTACTGGTCTTTAATAATCTCAGTGAAGAAGAGATGTACTCACCATCTCCTGGTGCCCTAACCCAGGAGAGAGAGAGAACATGTTATGAGCTCATATGCAAAATACTGGGATCTTGTCCTACATGTGTCTTTTGGGCAAGACACTTTCAATTTCTTCTTCCACCAAATGAACATATGAATAAAACTTGTCCTGTCTGAGTGTGCTCTAGAGGGCAAAAAGCCACACGGGGAAACGTTTTGTAAGCTGTGCAGAGCCACACTGATGGGAGCAGTTATCATATGATACTCAATAACAAATACATGGAGTTGGAGTGAGAAGAGGCACAAATGTCTTCTTGTAGGAAGTTTAGGGACCAGAGGCGAACATAGAACAAAGACTGAAGCTTAGGTGAAAGCACCAGAGAAACAAAGAATTGCTTGAAATCCCACTGTTAAGGGGTTAAGGAGTTTGGTACATTACTCTTAAGAACTAGAGTTCTGGGGATTTAGCTCAGCGACACAAGCGCTTGCCTGGCAAGTGTGAGCTCATGAGTTTGATCCCAGGACCTAAGAAGGTCATGTGACCTCATGAGTTTGATCCCCAGGACCTAAAGAAATAAAAGAAACTAGAAGCAGATCTGGAGTGGAGGCAGCAAGTAAGGAGTCTCAGCTCAGCTGGGCCCGGGTGGCAGGACTGAGATTCCAGAGGTCCTAGAAGCACTAGAATAACACATTTTATAAATTGCCCACGGCCCTCGTGACAAGATTCTCAGGCCATCTGGGGCTGAGAGCCTTTTTTGGAAGCAAACAGAGGCCACCTTTGGGCAGAATCTGGTAGGCTTTGGGAGTCTCCCTGTGCACACTGTTTTCCTGATTGCCTGAGCGCATAGAAAATGCCTAATTTAAACTGTTTGATTGTGACTTCTCATGAAACTAATTACTCAAGGAAGCCGTGATGTACGTCCCGCCTACGCGGCACATTCCTGTCTGTCACCCCTTTTGAGTCTCACAACAGCTCTGCGAAGTATTATTTTCCCTATTTTCTAATGATGAAAGTTGCCTAATTAAAAGAGATAAAGAAGTTACAAAACAGACAAAGCCAAAGACTGGTTTTTGAAATGTGGAATTTTGGAAAGGAAAATCTAGGGCACGATACCAGTGTACGCTTTCAGATGTTACAGTTTTCAAATTTATATGCATACTCCCCAGCCCATTACACTGTTAATCCTTTCAGTGCACCAAAGGGGCAGTTTTGGGATTCACTGATTTTCTCCAGGTGCTGAGGATACAGCCATGAGTGAGACAGTCCGTTCCACCTGGCAGGAGTCCCTGGGCCAGCAGGGAAGCATGGATGGCCTAATAGTAGTGCCCTCACAGGGACTTCACTAGGGCTGGCTGTAGTTTCTCACAAGTGGTCTTCAGAAGGTGGCCAAGGTCATGATGCTTCACTTTCCCTGCGCCATCTAAGTCACACATGTCTTCAGTTCTCCCGCATTTGTTTCTAATTTCTCCCCACTTGCCGCATCGTGGTATTGCTCTTATTCCTTGTCCCAGTTCTTCAGTATAGCAGACACCGTGCAGGACAAACCAAACCTTTTCCATGTTCCTGAGATCGC